GGAGCAGGACAGTCAATTTTTCCGGTCTGAACCCTTCATCAGGACTGAAGTGATGAAGGGTCCAGACCCGAAACATTGACAGTCCTGCTCCTCTGGTGCTGCCTGACCTGCTGTGTTCCTCCAGCTCCACACTGTATTGCCTCTGATTCCAGCATCTGCAGCTCTTGCTATCTCCCAGACTGCTGATATTGTCCACTGTTAAAAAAGGGCGGGAGGGATAGATCTAAGAAATCACAGGCCAGTCAGTCTAACCTGAGCGGTGGGGATGTTATTAGTATTCTGAGGGACAGAATATATCTGCACTTGGAGAGATATGGATTAATCAGGAATAGTTAAAGGGATGGTCATGTTTGACAAGTTAGATTAAATATTTTGAGTTCATGAGGAGTGTTGATGGAAATAATATGTTTGTGGTCTGCATGGACTTTAGCAAACCTTTTAGAAGGTCCTTCATGGCAGACTGATCAAGAAAGTAAGAGCCTTGAGATCATAAACTGTAGGAGCGGAAATAGACCATTCTGTCCATCAAGTCTACTCCACCATTCAATGAGATCACGGCTGACCGCCTATTCCTCAGCTCCATTTTCCTGCCTTTTCACCATAACCCTTGATTCTCTTACTGATTAAAATGTCTATCTCGGCCTTGAATCTACTTAACAACCCAGTCTTGACAGCCCTCTGTAGGCCTCTAGTTTTGTTTGAGGCAGAGGTACATTATTTCCCATCCCCATGGCCTAAGGGCTTTGTTATGATCCCAGCTGATGTTAGTACAAGACTGGGATCTGACTTGATAGATCATATTCTGGTTTGCTTTGGGATTAACAAAGTGGTCCCTCGTTGAAACGTAGGCGTGCAATGCTGTAGGTTTCGCTTTAATCACAAAACAGAACTTTATTGACAAAAGAAATGGGGATAAAATAGAATAAATAGCTGATGGGATGCAAAGCAATGTGGCACATTGGATCCAAAATTGATTAAAAGACAGGGTGCAGAAGCTTTCAGGGAGATTGGGGAAAACCAGGGAAATACAGACCAGTTAGACTAACATCTGTGGTGTGGAAATTATTGGAGTCCATTTTCAAATGCTACAAGATTTGGACAATATCCAGGCTTGGGCTGACAAGTGGCAAGTAACATTTGTGCCACACAAATGCCAGGCTATGACCATCACTAATAAAAGACGATTAACCACCGCCTGTCGACCTTCAATGGTGTTACCATCCTGAACCCCCCACTATCAACATCCTGAGATTTA